AACAGAAAGGATTTCAATTTGAGTGAGAGTATTTCTTTAGCTATTGTAGAGATTATTATCTCAATGAGAGTGTTAGGCTACTTACTTCCTCCTAAAGGGACGAAGCCCAGTTTAAGAGCTCAGTAATGTAAATGACATATGTTAGTGTGTGGAAGGAACATATCGGATTTCATGCCCTATAATAAATCAAATGAAAAAACAAAACAAATCCATTACAATGTAAAACCATAGACCAAAGGATAAGATAAAGTTCAAAAATTATGGCCTTGACTCTCTAGGGTCCTCAGTGGAGTCACCAAATTATCATAATATATAAATTCGTAAATCTATAGTTAGACTTACAAAAAGAGTCGCCACCAATCTTTTTTACTAAAGGTGCTGATTGGTCACCTAATGAATCTATCCCTTTAAGGAGCTCTTAAACTTGATGAAAGGTTCCTTAAAAAATAGGTTCGGATCTACTAACTAAAATAAGATTGAGAGTTCGATTACATGTGAGAAAGGTTATATCACCTCCACATGCACATCCAAAATATAGGTACCATATTATTTTAAATTTATCATATGGTTTGATCTAATGGTTTTAATTTTTATGTTAAATATTAGAAATAATTTATAAGATTCTTTCATTAATCTAGTAGAATTCTTAAAATATTTTCTCACCTTAAGAGTATTCAAGAATTTTATTTGATTTTAGAAGAAGCTCCGTCATTGGAAAAAGTTTAATTATTTTGTTTGGTTTTTGTCAAAAATATATCTAATTATTCTACCATTTGGGCCAAATTAAAAATATTTTCTCCTTTGAATTTCTAAATTTTCCACCATTTAGGCCTATTTAGAAATCCTTTTTATTATTGTTTTTTATTTTTAAAATTTCCACCATTTAGGTCAATTTAGAAATATTTTCTTTTTTGAAATTTTTAAATTTTCCACCATTTTGGCCTATTTAGAAATTTTTTTTTTGGAAAAGAAAATAATGTGACCAATTATTTTTATTGAAATTTCATTTAATTATTTCCATCATTTGAGAAAAATTTAAAGAAAATTTCTCACCTAGAGATTTCTTAAGAATTTATCATTTGAAATTTTCTAAGAATCTCATCATTGGATAATTATTAAATATTTTCATCCAAATTTTAGAAAGAATATAATTACTTTTATGAAATTTTCATCTAAATTATTCCACCATTTAGGAACAAATTTAGACAAAATCTCTCACCTAGAAATTTCTTAGAAATTTACCATTTGAAATTTTTTAAGAATCTTCATCATTGGGTAATTTGTATTTAATTCCAAAATTTTTATATTTTTATTTTTTCCTTGGCTTTTATTTTTTTTGTTTGAAAATAAATATTAATTATTGTTATTAAAACTTTATCTAAATTATTTCACAATTTGGGACAATTTAGATAAAATTTCTCACCTAAAAATTTTATAGAAATTTACCATTTTAAAATGTCATAAATTCCATCATTGAATAATTAATATTTATTTTCAAAATTTTTATCTTTTATTTATTTTTTCTTAAATTTAATCATGCAAAAAAAATAAAAAAATAAACACATAAAAATAAAAATAAAAAAACCCAAAAAAGGGGCTCAGTTTGCGGTTGCGAAAACGACTCAGTTTCAGGCCACAAAAGGGCTGCTTGAAGGCATGACTCAGGGAATACGGCTCGACTCGACTGAAGGGTTGGCTGAACATGGGTCAACCAAGCGGGTTGCGATTAGGTCAAGTTAACCTAAATAGAAATGCGCGGATCCTCTAGGATTTATTAACGCCAAAACGACATCGTTTTCCAAGGCTAAATCCCAGCATTTTCAGCAGATTCTTTTTTCTTTTTCTCTTTTTTCTCCCCTTTTCTCTTCTTCTTTCTCTAGTAATCCCAGAATCTGGTTGAATTTTCCTCGAAAATTGAAAAACACATCAAAAATTGAAAAAAACACGTGAAAAATTCAAGTTTGGTTAGAAAAATTTGTCGGAATCTGGGATTTTTCCAAAAAATTTTCAAAAAAATAATTTCCAAAAATTTCAAAAAATTCCTAAAAAATCTAAAATTGTTTTTACTTTTCAGAACCTATTTTTGGCTTCTGTTTTTCTGTTTTGTGTGTGTGTTCTTTTCTATGTGTTCAAGCCTATATTTATAGGCAAAAAAAATCAAGAGAGTTTTCGTTTGATTACAAGTCTACAATTTGATGAGATTTCACATATCCCATCTTGATTTAGTCCATCCAAGACTCTGCCACCCAATCGGTAGAACCTTGTTTTCTCTTTTTTTTTTTAATTTTAATCATTATCTCTTGAAAAGATAAATAATTAAAATAAAATAAAAAAAATGGGCCAATTTGCTCCATTTGCACCAAGTCCAATTGATCTGGACCTGGACCAAATTGGGTGTTTACAAAGTTATTTATTTATTTATTTATTTATGCAAATTAATTTTAAATTTTAAATCTTTAAAGTAAATAATAAAAATATAATAAGTGTAAAAAATCTAAAAAATTATCCAATGATGAGATATTAAGAAATTTCAAATAGTAATACCCTAATAAATCTTTGGGTGAGAAATTTTTTTAAAACTATTCAACGTATTAAAGTATTTATAAAAAAATTTTCAACACAATAAAAAAATTTTCCTGTAAAAATTTTTTTTTAAAAATATATAATAAAAAATCAATAAATAATTTTTAAAAAAGGGATAAATAAAATATGCACACTAATATTTAATCATTTGCATCGCCTATATATCATTTAATTTTTAAAAATAGATTTGAGCTTACAACGATGAGATTTTAAAGAAATTCGAGTAATGATTATTAAAAAATCTTTAGGTGAGTAAAAAATTCTTTTCAATATTACCAATGTAATAGAATATTTTAATAGATTTTTTGATAAACAGGTTTTAATTTATTTTTTTCAAATAAAATGGATTAATCTTTAAAAAACAAAATAATAATAAAAAAGAAAAATTTGTAAAAAACGACAAATGGGTGAAATAACAAAAATGGAAATGAAAATAAATTAATAAAAATAGTCAAAAGAGTTATTTTTAAATATCAAAATTAAAATTTTTTGTTAAAGTTAAAAAATAACACATAATTAATTAGTATCACTTTTTAATGGGCGTTGTGAGGGTGTTAATTAGTCCTCACATATAATTAACTCCTGAATCCAAACTATTTTCATAGACCTAAAAATTATCTTTTTAATAAATGTTAATTAATTTTAAGATTTTATTAAAAATGTAATGTTTTAATGGTGATCAATTGCACTTAATAAAAAAATATTAATAGCAATTCTGTTTGTTTTCACTAGCGGTCCTAAAACTGTTATGGCAGCAACAACAACAAGAAAGTTTTGATATTATCAAAAGCAATATAAGTTTAACATGTTAAACTTTTGCTACAATACTTTTTCTTTTAAAAAGCAAAAGATTTGTTGGAAAATAAAATAAAATAAAGCAAATTATCCTAAATTAAAAGAAACAAACATTACTATTTGTTTCCTTTCATTTATTACAAAGGTAGACATCCAAATTAAGATAAGAAGTGTCTATTAATTACTTAAACTTGTGCAATTGGATAGGATGCTTTCAAGGCAATGCCACAAAGACCTCCTAGGGTACCCACATCCCTTTGAATCTTCATGTAGCCATTCTCACCCCAATTTTGGCCCCATGAATTCTTGATCAGCCAGTACTTCGTACCTTCTTCACTAGTCCCATATCCAACAATGGTGACAGCATGGTTGAGAGCAGTCCCACAGTATCCACTAAAAACTCCACCTTGGTAAAATTGAAAGTATTGTCCACTCCCCTCAAGGGCAACTGAGACAGGTTGGTTTGCTACTGCCTTAAGTAATGCTTCTTCATCATTGGCAGGCACCATTTCGTAACTATTGATATTGGCAACTTTATCTATCTCCTTCTCTGTGTCACAAGTTCCTTGCATTTCCTGATATGGATAGCTTTCCTCCGTGGTTATTCCCTGGTTTTGCTTAACATATTCGAAAGCATTCATCATCCAACCACCATTGCATCCCCGGTTACCGCCATTTGTGCTGCAGTCCAACAGTTGTTGCTCAGACAATGAGATCAATTTACCAGTTTGAATTTGAATTATCCCTTCAATGGCTGCCACTGCTGAAAATGCCCAACAACATCCTGTAAAAAAAAATGAAAACAAACCCTGTCAAGCAAATAATAATTGGTGGATGTTTGGTACTTAGTACATGGTCACATTTGTTAGGTCAAATTTGCAACGTAAAATTTTGTAATTGTACCTTAAGTTCATTTATTTTTTTTTTCAAAGGAACTTGTGATAGGATTCTAAAATTAAACTTAGGTTTAGTTGAAATTCACTGAGGGTTCAGTAAGGTGAGAATTGATTGCTTTTTCGACCAAATTGTATCGTAGATCATATTTGGATAACATGTTCTGTGTTGCAGTTGGAACTTTGGCATGCAGCACACCTTCAGTGCAACAGTGGGCAAAAAGGATCTAGTGGATCGCCAGTGTTTCAACTGCACCTTTATGCCTCTATTAAAATATTTTTTATACCCATCATCCCTTAAATAAATTTATATTTCTTAAAATTTTGGGCATATATATTTTTTTTTACTTATACATTTTACAATTGTTAGCTATTTTTTTTATTTTTTGTTTATAAATTATGAAATAATTTTATTAATTTAATATAATAAATAAAATTTATTGTTATATAATAAATTAATAAATAATATGAACTAAAAATATTATTATTTTATAAAATTTATCATATGATAAATTGATAAATAAATATTATATTATGAATTAAAAACAAAATTTATGATTATATACAAATTTTAATCTAATATCCTTAATGATCATTTTTTCTTTTCATAATAATTCATCTCATCGTCATCACTACTTTTGTATCCAAACACATTTTATTATTGATTTTAATCTCATAACTTCAATAATCAATCTCATCACACCGTAATTAATTTTACTTATATCTCTATTTTTAATTTCACCTAAATTAATAGCATCATTCATCCAAATGAACCCTTAGTTAAGATGGTTAAGAGAGTTTTGACTTGATTGCTCTTAAAAATCCCAACGAAGTAAGTTTAATTTTAGAATCCTGCCACATATCCTAGAGTTGACTGGCATAGATTATATAATCATTGCATGACATGTGAGATCAAGATATAAAAATTAATTTTCAAAATATGCGAATTAAGTAAGAATAAGATAAGACAAAGACAAAATCATGCATCTAAAATGTCTTACCACATTTACCCTGGTACTTAACAGGAGTGACAGCACCTTTCTCCCTCCAATCCCAGTTTGTTGGAAATTCTGAGAAGCTTTCATACCTAAATGATGTTGATATGGATGTGGTTGGGTTGTCTTGCACCTTGTATCCAGTATGAGCTGCAAGGAATTCATCTTGGGTCATGTCTGCAAACTCATTAATGCCTAACTTATAACTTCTATTTCCACCATTGTTGAAACTCTCAATATATTCCAAGTTGTCCTTGAATATATTAAAACGCCTCTCCTTCTCTAATTTGTTCTCGTATTTTCGACCGTATGTAGACATCCATTGCTCATGTTTGTCAGCAATGGCATCTTCATGAATTGTGCGAGACATGGCCTGAGATGCCAAGGTCCCCAAAATGAAAAACAAAAGGAGGGTTAAAGTCATTGTTTTACAATGTAGAGATATAGCACTAATTAAATTGGATTTGGCAATTGCTAAGCTGTGAAGAAATAAACACCCAATGTCAGGTATTTATAAACAACAACGCATGAGTACTATCCTAATTGTTTTAGAAATTAATTGAAGAAAACAATTTTTAGAAATTAATTGAAGAAAAAAATTTAAGTTATCTTATGAAATTTCTAAGCAAAATGCCAATTGGGTCATGTTTTAGAAAATTCTATTTGTCCTTATATTAAAGACAACATTGACAAAAAGATCTAACTACAATTAAGAAGATAACATGCTATTGAACAATAACGTCTAAGTTCAGGAACTGAAATATTTTGTTTCTTTAAAATGATTGATGCAAATCAAAAATAGAAAATGTTAAGCATTCAATTCAAAATCAATTAGCTATAATTGAATGGGTTCAACTTAAATATAATATTACAAGAAATAAAATATTTATTAAATGTGAGATAATACTACTATAATAAGCCCCTATCACATGTAGATGGAAATGAAAAAAATATATCACGTGATTAATTTGAAATAGGCATCTAATTTTTTATAATATTATATTTAAGTTGGACTCATCCACTTATAACTAATTGATTTTAAGTTTGATATTTAACATGATATCAGAGTCAGGATTTTTTTTCATTTTTTTTTTCAAATCTATCATGTGATATGTTTTTTTTTTTATCTCTACCAATGCGTCTTATTAAAGTAGTATTATCTCACATCTAATAAATATATAATTTTTTATAGCTTTATATTCAAGTTGAGCCTCTCTACTTATAGTCAAATGAGTTTAAGTTGAATACTTAACATAATATCAAATCCAATATTTCTTTTCGGTACCTTTTTCAAATCTGTCACATAATTTTTTTTTATCTCCACCTGTTAAACTAGTGTTATCACAAATCTAATAAATATCTAATTTTTTATAATCTTATATTGGGTCTCTCTACTTATAACCAATTAATTTTAAGTTAAATACTTAACAAAAAATTCTACATTTTTTAATTAATTAACCCTTCTAACAAGTTATTATTTTTCTTTAATAAAAAATTAGGGGAGACCAAACTCCATAAATACAAATTGAATGCCAATATTGCGTGTGGAACATAATTTTAGGGAAAACATTTCCTTTCGTTCACATTATATAATTACTGGTACTTTCATTTTTCAAGTTCTAATCAGTACCTAATTTGGTTAGGATAGTAGCATTGCGAGCTTGTGACAATGACAACTTATGTCAAAAGAAAATTAAAGAAATTAAAGATATTTTCTTGTTTAATTTGCCTTCTCTTTACTAAATTATCTTCGGTTAAAAGGTAGTTTTAATCCCCGGTGTCGTATGTAAATGAATCCTGAAATCTTTTATATAAGTTTCTAGACAAATTTGTGTACGTGATTGTTTTTTTTCCCCCCTCGTGGACAGATGTGGTTGTTATTGTTATTATTTACTCTTGCATATGAAGATTCTATTATAAAGTAAAGGCGTTATATAATTTTTTTCTTATAAAAATTAATGGGTGAAATGAGTAAAATAATGTCGGAATGTGACTCAAATTTTAAAATAATTGGTGAAAAATGAAACAAAAGGGATATTATTTTTTTCAAAAGTATTGTTTTTTTCTTTTATTTTAATTACAAATTAAAATAAGAGAGAAAGATATTCAAAACCATAAAGTCTTAACCTTTTGAAAACGAATAACTAACTGTTAGCTAGAAATTCTACCCATGTAGATTGAGCCATAACTTCGGGTGGTAGTGAGGGAAAAATACAAAAATCGACAGATAGATAGAATTGTCTCCTTGTTCGTGTTTTTCGACTGCATGCAAAGACCTTGACGTAGTCTTTGGGGTCAACTGTTACATTCATAATTGATCAGAAATGGATTGAAAATTGCAATACAACATCAATTATGTCATAATTATTTAAGAATTATTTATTTTATTTAATCTTTTTTAAATATCACTTATTTTGTATTAAATATGCTTAAAATTAATTCTTTCTTTGTCCAAAATGGAAAACAAATTGCAAAAGTCAAATCAAATCAAAAGACTTAAGTTAGAGGAGAAAAAAATCTAAATGAAAAAAAAAAACTTTATTAGCACTTAATATCATAAAATGCACCCTCTAATACGATAGAGCTTCAAAATGGAGGTTAATCACGGGAACTGACTTGACTTAGGATTTATTAATGTCATGTTCTTAGTCCCCATACTTGACTCTTCTCTGCCCCACATTTCTAACGAGACTAACCTTTTCATTGGCACACAGTTTGAACCTATTAACCGTATTATTGGAAACATAACTCCAAAGTACAAATCTCAGGATTAACAAGTTGGACTTTGTTAGATTCAGACAATGTTTAATTTTCAACAAGACAACTTCATACTACTGTATGTGTATATACATTTAGCTGTCCTGACAATGGACTTCTGGAGAATGGCCATTTAAACAAACAAGATCAAATGAGTTTCCCCTAGAGTACTTATCACTTAATTGACGCACCGAATAAAAAGCAGTGTGGACAGGCAGGATTTGCGGTAGAATTTTCCTTTCCAATGCTTTACAAATTGACAGGAATGATAGATATTGGGACTGTCTCACTCTCTCAGTCAACAGCCAATATTTGCAAGAGAGCCAGCGAGATATATTCTGGAGGTTTTTATTAAAATTAAGAAAGAAAGCATCTTATCAAAAGGTTTAATTGCAAGGCTTCCTATTAGTGAAAATACATGGGCATGTTGAAGTTTTAAATTTATGCAAGATATATAATTTTTAGCGTGGATTCTCTCTAAAGGACAAAACTTATATGAAATTCCATAAGTGAAATTTGTAAAGTTTTTTATTAAAAATGAGTAAATAAAAAATTTAAATCGATAAATTGATTGAGTTTAATATAAAAATTAATAATATATACAAAAAATATTTAAAATATTATTTATAATTTAAATTTGATCGATATTTATTCAACGAAAAAAATTCTGTTAATATTTTTACTAAAAATATTTATTTAATAAATATATCAAAATTTATTTAAATTTTTTTAAATTTTACACACTTGATTTTTGTAATAAGATCTTTCAATCTATTGATTTTAATTTTCTATTTTTATTTACTTATTTTTAATAAAAAATTTCATGAATTTTATTTATAAAATTTTATGTAAGTCTTTTCCTTAAATGAAAGGATTGTTACTAGTGAAAATAAAAGAACTAAAGTTTGATCATTTTAAATTTAAAATAGCTTGAGCTCGGATTTTTCGACAATTTCTGGTGCTCATGTTAAAATTTGTTACCTCATATATAAATAAAAATTAATAAAAATATATAATTTTATTCATTTTTTTTTATGTTTTTCATTTTTTGACATTAAATTTGATCCAAATCTAATATATATATATATATATATATATATATTTAATATTAAAATTTAATTCAAACCGAATAAAAAATTTAATTTAAACCGAATACTATAATTTTAAATTAATTTTTAATTTTTTAAAATTTTTTCTCGTCCCTGATCAAAACCTACAAACCTCATGAGCTGCTCAACTTATGAAGAGGTTTAACTTTGATAAAGGAGGATGGAGTTTATAAAATAGAGCAAAACTATCTTCTTTTTTCTTACTCAAAATCTAATGAGCTTTTATATGTTTTTCATTCCAAAGTTTAATTGACATAACCTTCTTATAAATAATCATATAAAAAGTTTAATTGTTCTAGAACAGTATTGTCTCACTCTTCTTAAATTTTCTTTTTGACGTTATTGCGTTGGCCTTCTTTTGGGCTACACTGATTTTTAAAAATCAAAATTTTAAAAATTTAACAGCAACGTATAAAAAACGATCTGATATATCTAAATGATTGTATTAACCAATAAAAAAAAATACTAATATCAGATTAAAAAAGGCGATGATTAAACCTAAACGATGCCGTGTGTAACTTCATAAAGCCTGCAATCTTGGAATTGGTCAAATTTTGTGTGGTTCCTTGTAAGTCAATCATCTGGCTTTTATTATGTACCAAAAAGAAAAGGGGAGAAAATCTTTTGGCTTATTGGAATATTAAGAGAACAATATGACAATCATTTAACTTTTTCAAATTATTGAGGAAATTAAATTCCCAAAAAAATTTTCTTTTTCTAGGAATGTGAATTAAGTTAATCAAAGATCAATTATAAAAAAAAAAATCTCAGGTAGAAGAACCAAAAAGCAATATTAAGAAATTAGAGAAAGAAGTTAATTAATCAAATTAAAAAGTGGAATCAAAACAAGGATTGGTTTTGGTGGGCTAAATCTGTCTCTCTAATAGTTTATGAATCACATTAATGAGACACAGATATCAATGAAGAGATTCAGTTAATGTTTGAATGAATGATGGCAGGAATTGTACTTGCTTGCCTGAGGTTACCAAAAATCTATCCTCTAATCTGCTACTATGTTTTTTTTTTTTTTTTTTTTGCATTATTTATTTTATTTGTTTTATCTTCATATTTTGCTGCCTGCCCATAAACTTGGCTTCAAAGAAATAAAGATTGAGAATCAGATTAAAGAGAAATGAAAAACTGTTGGTCAATATAATATCATGTGATGGTTTCTCATAGCTGATGATCAATACCAATGTGCCAGAGCAGTTTATGTAGTTATCTAATTAAAACTTGATGGAGAGTGAGTATATCCCTCATCATTCCATTCACCGCATGTTACCTAACTAAAACTTCAAGGCTTAGTTTATTATTATTTGAAGAAGGCAAATTCAAATTCGTGTCAATACTCATTAGGTATATTAATAAAATATTAAAATTTTAATTTCAATAATCAGAATTTAAATTTTGATAATCTTAATTATCCAAAAAAAAAAATTGAATCCATCTATAGCTTTATTTGTTATTATTATTTGGGGAAGGATAATTGAATTCATTTTTGAACAAAAAAATACATGTATTTTTCATTGAGTCAAATACTTAAATGCAATTTTTATTTGAGGGTTAATCAATTTTTTCAATATTGCATAAATTTTGTGAAATTATTGTAGAATTATATAATCGTAAGTAAATCTCTCGTATGACCTATTCACTCACCTTGTTATCATGACTTGAATCCAAAACCACAAACTTAAAAGCATTGTATTGTTAGAGGAATACTCTAGATAAACAACTGCAAAGTTAAAGGAATGGTGAAAATTTCACCTCTAGATAACCAAAAAAATTCCTTGTATTGTTATATACCCTCAATCACCTCAACCAATAGCCTCTACCTCATTATAACATACTTTAAATTATGTTTAAATAAGAGATGGAATTCTCAAATTGTTTGATTGCTCTGGAGCTCCTAAAAGCATTGTTTCTTGCTATCCTAAAAATCGTTTTTGAATTGGAAAATTTCTGCTAGCAAAGTATGCTTATCCATGTATATAATTATACGAATTATAAAACCCTTAACTAAGTTGATAAATTGATTAAACAACTATATTATTCGTTTTTTTTTTCTAAAATATGATTTAAATCCATTTTCTAAACTTGCATTCTAATTAATTTTTCTTTATTTTAAAACTATACGTGATTTACGTTCCTATGTTTTTCTTTATTTTGCATTTTCCAACAACTCAAATTTGTTTTCCAACGTTTATCTAAACCATATAATTGTTTATTACTTCACTCATATAATGAGTGTGCTAAAGACTTCTTGATTGCGTTTTGTATCTGGAGTCAAGTTAAACCAATTTAATTGAGAAAAATATAAAAAAAATAAATTAAATAAAGGACACATGTATTTCCATTTAAAAAAGGTCAAATTGTGAATTTAATCTCTGTACTATTAGAAAATTTGAAATTATGAATTTAGGTCCAGTTTCGAATCAACAACTTTGGAAAGCAAATATATGTAGAGAAGTATTTCACTTATTAAATGTGACTATAACGAATATTTGGAAAAAAAAATTTAACTATAAATATTTTTGCTATTTATTACTTTGTACAAGATGAAAATTTAGGGGGCTGAACAGCTTTTGTCAGCTCCAACCAGAGTCGAATACATTAAAAATTTTCTTCCCCTCCTACCATCACTACAAAAGAATGCTGTGCCTGTGTCTTAATCCTGTAAAAATTGGAAGTCTGGATTCTCAATAAGCTCTGCAGCAGGTTTTACATTCGAAAATTCTTTTACTTGCATGGAGTCGGTAATGTCCTCGACCGAGAAAGGAATGCTACATTCAGAGAGGATAATCAGCTAGTACGATATTAAAGGAACTAAAAAGCTACTCTTCCTTTCTCCTTTTTTAACTTTCATTTTGGTTAACTTACCTGGAATCATCATCCAACAGATAGGAGCTGCCGCTATCATCTTCTGAATCATCTGTCATAATAAGTTTCATGCTGGAAATGACCTGAACAAAGAATGCGTCTTACTATACTAACTAAATGAGACAAAAAAAAACATTTTTGGGTAAAATTCTGGGAGAGAAAGAGAAGCCGTCTACAATTTGATCTGACTTACATCTGGTGAAACACTTTCAGTGTTGTGTTTGTCATCGCTATAAAGTGTACATATCCTATAGAGTTGTTGAACACTCAGAACCTGGTGAAGGACACAATGTAAGATAATGCAGAGAAATATCTCAACATTTCAGATCAATACATATTTAAATACCAACATACATATTTATATACCCAATAGCAAACAGAAATTTATTGTGGATATCTTTGGACTTTAGTTTCACATGATAAGTTTGGGTTACATGTCAATACGGGCATGACAACCTAATAGGTAATTCAAATGCCCCACCCCTCATATAATTTTGAAATTCCGAAGAATTCCATATCATACGAAAACGGGTTACAGGAGGAAATGAAAACTCATTTGGCACCCTTGCCTTATCATTAATTTCCACATTCATGGATGAACATGCTTTTCAAATACCACAAATGTGAGCCCCTTCATCATGATTAGTCAGGTTTTCTTCACAAGAATGATGGGGGGTCACACTAACTCAACCTTAATTTATTTAATAATTGGAGTGTTCTATGAACCATAGTTTGCACCCTGCCCCATCATCCGGGGATTACATGAAGAAAGAAAAAGAGACTTACAGTACAAAGGTCATTTGTTATTTCGTCATAGGATAATTTGGATTTTTGATTTATAACCTGACAGGACAAGACCAGTTGTTCAAATTGGAGAAATGAAATAAAACAGAATAATTAAAACATGAAACTAAGAGCAAGGAATAGTGGTTACTTCATCCCATTCCTTTTCATACTCCAAACAAAACCAGAATTTAACAGTAACTAACAAAAATATTTGCAAAAGAAATGCTAGGTACCAAAATTACATTTCTTGAAGCAATGGACCTAAAAATTGTTATGGATGGAGGATAACTATCAAGATTCAAGACTTGACAAGTCGACAATTTCCCATAAAATCAATGAATATAGCAAATTTTAAGATTTTACATTCCCATTATAGATCTATGATTGATTTCAGCCAGACATCACAATCCAAACAAATTAAATACAGAAACCAAAGACTTCAGAAATTTCAATCTTATTCCAACAGACAAGGATGGCTTGAAGAGCGGTTCCTGGTAAACAAGTGAGGAAGATTTTTTATTAAGGCTCTATTTTGTTCAACTATAAAACTTTAAAAAAGCTTGCCTGTGTGCTGGATCTGCTATAAAATTAGGTGGAACGTATATTTCTTTATGCTGAAGGTTTAAAATAGTTGAATATAACTCATAACTCAACACATCTTTCATTAGTTCTTTTCCAAGTTAAGAAAATGAGCCCCAAAGATAACTGGCAAATCTAATAGCAAGATCACCACACATACAGCCACCCCAACCCCCATTTCCTCTCTTTATCTCAAATTTGAAAACTTAATTTTGGGGAAAAAACTGTGGCAGAATATGCATATGTGCCATGCCATATGGTAGCATAACTGTCTCTATTCTACAGACTCAAATCTATCACCATGAAAGCACTTGACTATTCTTAGCGGGTTAAGCAGCTATTTCCACATTTTCACTTGAGTAAAGTCAAATAACCAAAGAACACTGCTACTGTTGCCTCTTCTAAACAACAGGGGAAAAAGTTATAAAGAAATGGACCAAATATTATAAGTCCTATAGCGGGTGCCCAAGGGATCCAATTCTACTCAGGTGCAATCAATTTATTCTTGATTGGTGGGGTATGAGCCATGGTATCCCATCCTACATTACACGGGGAAACTTACAAGATACTGATAGCTCTACTTTTGTTTAAGGTCAAACCAAACCCCAAATTTGCCAAGCCCTGAAATTCAAGAACTAATCATTGTTATTAATTCCACAATATATCAATCCTAAACCTTTATTTTAACATCCAGAAGAGATTGAAGCCAGTTTATATCCTTCTAAAGCCACAATTGCAACTAAATGTTATGAAGTCAAAGTGGCATGACCTTATCAAGGAAGGAAACAAGCAATACATAGCTTGCGCAGTCTCAACCAATTTCATAACCCTGTAGTGATTACTTACCAAGCACATAAGATTTCAAAAAAAAAAAAGAAAAGTTGAATGAGAATGACACAAATACTTGCATAGAACCACAAGATTAAAGGTTACACAACACTGTAGTGATTACTTACCAGGCACACAAGATTTCAAAATAAATAAAAAAAAAAGAAACGTTGGATGAGAATGACATGTATACTTGCGTCGAACAACAAGATTAATGGTAATGTAACGCAACAAAATTCTAACCTGGTAAAATGAAAAACTGAAGAAACATACCAAGAATCCAACAGCCTGCCTTGTGTGTTTGAGTTCATCCCATGCTGAGCCAGTATACTGTAATTAGAGGAATCACCAAAGACAACCATCAACTCTTAATTCGAAATTTAGATGCAATAAGGTGCCACAACTAATAATCAGACAGGAAAATTTCTGTTCGTGGCATGTTCAAACTTCAAACAATGTGAAGTGCCACCTTCAACAGTCATAATCAGAACTAAAGATGTTACCTCTTCAGTCGCTTGGGCACACCATAGTTCCAACTCGGCTAAACCAGACTTCACATACTCCCCATTGCTAAATGTGCAGCACTCTTGATGGAGAAGAAGGCTGTAGCAAAATAAAATAACATCAAATTTTGGAATTTATTCTTATTATCTTATCTACAGTAACAGCAAAATAAAGAAGAAATATTGATTTACCTATTAAATAGCTGTACATTAATATATGCAAAACTTTGAGTGAAAATCTTCTGAACAAGTATGGTAGGCACCTAAAAAATTTGTAAAAATAAGTTCATGTTTCATGAAAAAGAAGGAAATACTCCACTTTAATGTATCAAAATTGCAAATTGCATACAAAATTTTCTTTTAATGCGGACAGCAGCCTGTTCAGGCACTCAATAATGCCCTGCCAGTGACTAGCTGGAGAACTATCGCCTTGTGACTCTTCAGAAGTTTTAAAAGCTGTTCCTTCTGATGTCCTAGGTTCCTGACATATAGGGTAATTCATTAGATACATAAAAAAATTGCAATTCCAAGATAAAACTAGTTGCTTCTATGCTTATAAGTCAGCATAGGAGATTAGTCAAGAATGACATTTTGCCACTATCAATTAACACAACTTTTAAAAGGAACAACAGACAACTGAAGCTCATGTAAGAATAATCCTAAACGCACAAATCCATACGACTTAGAGTGCAATTCAAACTACTTATACAGCATATGATATCGTCAGGTAGAACCTAACGATGTAGAAAATGGGAAAATAAGCTTAACAAGTAGAAGTATCTCTTTATAAAATTAATAATGAATTAGCTTTCCGTGCCCAAACAATAAATCATTCACTTTGAGAATTTCAACCAAGCAGGCATTATGAAGTAAATTGCAGGGAAGTCGACAGAAGAGATTGCGATAGATTCACATGCATAGAGCAACCAACGATAAAAGACATGATGTTCAAAAGAATAAGTTAAATGTATAGAAAGAGGAAATAAGATAAAATTGAAAAATATGAAACCAAGATGAAATTAATTAATTATTACAACATGCAGTTGAAATTTACACAAAGCAATAAATTTCAGTTTATCATGCAACAAAGCACACATTCTACAAGTTCAAACGAAGCAGCACAGCAAACATAGGATTTGCTTGGTAAGAAGAATCGAAAGGGATGAGGATGGAAAACTTGTCAATCCAATGATTAGAATTCATACGTTCCTACTTCATAGCTTAACCATTAGATTAACAAGTGTACCATCCTTAACCTTTTGCATTCTTCTTACCAAGCAAAAAGCCTTGGAGTGTGTGAGGTGGAAAGATGGCTTCAAAATAAGCCTCAGAAAGACCACAATGTTTTCTCCTGTATATAGTAACATAATTTTGAAAGTTAACAAAATAAGTCACTAGGAAAACTCAGTGATTGAAATGCATAGCTCCTTATACCTGAATACAACAAGAAACAAGTTGTGACAAGTCCTTTTTCAAGTTCTCTCTTATGATACCATAGATCTTTTCTATGTATGCTGTGAGCTGCTGCTTAAAAAGCAGAGCTGGATACTTGGCCTCAACCTGGCGCACTACACCAACCGGGAGATTGGCAGAAGATGAACGAAAACTCTGAGAACCAACAACAGCATATCACATAATTTTCCTCTATAAGCTCTAGAATCATTCAACAATACAATGATAATGATCATATCACAATATTTTAAAAGAAGAATTAGAGTTCTTTTGTTTCTTCTTTCTTAGTTCTTTTTTTCCTTTTTTTTTTTGTGATATGGTAAAGAGTAAAGAATTAGAGGCTGCATTGTTAAATGAGAATGAATGTTGGGCATTTAAGAAACAACATCAGAAGAAAATGAGCATAGCTAAGATAAAGATGCTCAGATGCATGGTAAGACTAGAAGAGACAAAATAAAAAACACAAAGAATAGAGGAAAATTAGAGATAATCCGAATTGAGGAAAAAATGAGAGAAGCCATTTGAGATGGTTTGAACATGTGAAATGTAGGTGTATCTATGCATCAATTAGGAGAAATGAGATTTAGGAGAGACCAAAACTTCGAGACGTAGACCGTAAAAGATGTGGATACAAATAATAGGAAATGATATGAGAGTTAAGGAAGTAGAAGAAAAGATTATTTTTTATAGAAATGAGTGGTACAAGAAAATTCAAAACTATAACTTAACATGATTTTTTTTTTGGCCTTTCATGCAATTGACCCCAAAGTTATGGGATATAAGGCTTAGTTTGTTGCTGTTGTGTAAAAAAGAGTTCAGAGATATGTAAATCATGACTACTTTATGCAAACAATTTATAGACATTGTAATGAATTGTCTTAATACTTGGGTCATCCTTGAAAAAAATGACGTTGGAGTAGGAGGTTTCTGTGCTGCACTTGAACTAGAGGCTTTCAAACTACGTTGAAGCAAAAACAACAATACGGATGTATTCGACAGCCAATAAGCCAAGTGATCATTGTTGTCCTGGTCCTGCAAAACATCACAAGGAATCGTCAATGTTATAGTAAATTTGTTTACCCTCGTCTTTTCAGTCGCTTAAACTTGCTTAATCAGAGAAACATAATTTAAGAATCAGTTAAAGTAATCAGACACAAGTTTCTAGCAAAGAGAAGAATTCCATATTCCCTCCTACTCATATCTAAATAATTGCTTTTCAACAAAGTAAAAAAGCATAATTGTATCTTCTAAATCCAACAAAAATTTTTTTTTTTAAAAAGAGATATATTGAGGCTCGTAAGCTAACTGCTTTTGTTACTTATTTCTACTTGTTTCTTGCTATCAAAGCAAGAAGCAAAAGTACGTTCGGGTGCAATAGCAAATTATAATAATAATAAAAATAACAATAACAACAACAACAACAACAATATTTTTGAAATAAGAACAAAATTGAGAGTTTTGGTTAACAAAATGAACATCTAACTGCAAACTTTATATTTGAATAGGTGTTAGCTTTTTTTGTCAGTGTCTCATTTTTAACCAAATATGACATTGCCTTTTCCAGGTGTGTTTGCTTTTTGGGAAAGAACTTACAAAAGTAAAAAACAAGTAGCGAAATTGAACCTTTGCCCCACTTTTCCCAATACTATTCTAGAGTACTTAAAATAGCTTTCATCCATTTGCATAGAGAAAACGCCAAGAAACAATACATATTACCAGCTTTCTTAAGCTAACCTACAAGGCAATTTCTAAATGTAGTTTGAAACTACAAATCACAAATTGCTACACTAGCTTTTACTTTAGACAATAGTACTGTAATGTAATCTCTACATCAGCAAGAAAAGGGAGGTTGATATTGATGACAAGGATTTGAGATTATACTAAATTTGAGCTTCTGCAATAAACAACTTACCTCGAGTGCAGAGCCAATCATCTGAATAAGACGATCAAATACACTTGTCTTTTCTGCTTCAAATGATTTCCAGTGGAGAAGGCATTTGTATATCGTAAATCCTGCAACAGGCTTTTCTTGACTGAACCCAATATTCTGTGTCACACATTTGATTAGAGCATCTACGCTCTCCTGTGGCAAAGATGATACATACAACAAAAATTAATCCCTAGAAACTTAACCCAATACAAACACTTGAGAAAAAATAGAACCAATTCCATATTATTTGAGTTCATACTTGTTGCCTTTCAATATGGGATCTCCTCATTTTACTATCTTCTCTACCAAACCTTTTTGATGGACCGGAATTTAGTTGTGCCTGTCAGAAAAAACATTCCATCTTAGGATGATAGAAGCAACAAAGAACCAGTTATGCAGACATATCTGATACACTGAGTGAAGAGAAATTATAGTCTCCACATTCTTCACTTACATGATGACCATTTTCCAGAGGCTGCAAAGTGAAAATAAAGACAAACAAGGAAAAATAAGGAAAGTGAAAAAAATAATCAGAACCAGCAAACCAACTCAAGAAAAATAAGGGAAGCATGTTTAAACATATCTTACTGCAGATGTCACAATTGACAAATGCTCTGACATTTTTACTAGATGCACTCATCAATGCTTGCTGCCGCAAAACCTGGTCCTCGGATTCCATGTCCAAAATCTTCTCTTCGAGTCTGTTAAAAGATATAGACAATTATTCAGATGAAAGAAAAGCAGCTGCAGTCAAAGAATGAAAAATCCAGTTGACTAAACATTCATACAAACATAAAAATCAAACACATATTACAATTAAATATAGGGATAAACCTCTGCATTGCAGTTTTTAGCTCAATTATCTTTGACTCTGCCTCCAAAGCCTGCTTTAGTCGCTCTTCACTAAGCTTGTTTGTTTCTTCATATTTCCTCTCTGTTTCATCAATTTTCTGTTCTAATGAACTTACCAGAGCCTGCAATGATATTGTGGCAAACAAGATTTCAAGAAACATAAAGGCCAACTTAACAAATTTAAAAAACACATTAAGCAAGCCTAAGTCAAACCTAAGGTCTTATGCAGAAGCAACAAGTGTCTAACAATACCTTCAGCTGTTCATTTTCGGCAGTAAGTTTATTCATCAATTCATCATCATTAACAGGGACCTCCTGAATGACAGGAACTTGTTCAGCAGTGTTCTTTGCAGCTTCATGTTCCTTGATTAGCAACTCTTTTGTTTCCTGAAACTCAAGTTGTATCTTGTCCAAAGCAGATTGCAACCTTGCAATTTCTTGGTTTTTGGATTCCTCTAGGTCAGCCTGACCGAATAAAAGAATCCATTAGAAACAAGAAAAAATCAAATTGCACTACAATTTACTAAGTAGATTTAAAAGATAATATATAATTCTCCTAGGGATTGTTATCCTTTTTGCCAACAATAGTCTAACAATACCTTCTGCTGTCCATTTTCCGCGGTAAGTTTATTCATCAATCCATCATCAATTAGAGGGACCTCCTGTGTGACAAGGACTTGTTCAGCTGTGTTCTTTGCAGCTTCACGTTCCTTGATCAGCAACTCTTTTGTTTCCTTTAACTCAAGTTGCATCTTGTGCAAAGCAGATTGCAACCTTGGAATTTCTTGGTTTTTGGATTCCTCTAGGTCAGCCTGCCCTAATAAAAGAATACATTAGAAACAAGAAAAAAAACAAATTGCACTACAATTTAAAAATTAGAGTTAAAAGATAATATATAATTCTCCTAGGGGCTGTTATCCTTTTTGCCAAGAAATGTCTAATAATACCTTCAGCTGTTCATTTTCAGCGGTAAGTTTATTCATCAATTCATCATTAATAACAGGGGCCTCCTGACTGACAGGAACTTGTTCAGCTGTGTTCTTTGCAGCTTCACGTTCCTTGATCAGCAACTCTTTTGTTTCCTGAAACTCAAGTTGCATCTTGTTCAAAGCAGATTGCAACATTGGAATTTCATGGTTATTGGATTTCTCTAGGTCAGCCTGCCTTAATAAAAGAATCCATTACAAACAAGAAAAAACCAAATTGCATTACCATTTACAAAGTAGATTTAAAGGATAATATATAATTCTCCTCGTGGTTATTATCCTTTTTTGCAACAAATGTCTAACAATACCTTCAGCTGTTCATTTTCAGCAGTAAGTTTATTCATCAATTCATCAGCAGTGTCCTTTGCAGATTCACGTTCCTTGATTAGCAACTCTTTTGTTTCCTGAAACTCAAGTTGCATCTTGTTCAAAGCAGATTGCAACCTTGGAATTTCTTGGTTATTGGATTCCTCTAGGTCAGCCTGCCCTAATAAAAGAATCCATTAGAAACAACAAAAAACAAATTGCATTAACATTTACAAAATAGATTTTAAAGGATAATTAATAATTCTCCTAGTGGTTATTAACCTTTTTTGCAACAAATGTCTAACAATACCTTCAGCTGTTCATTTTCAGCAGTAAGTTTATTCATCAATTCATCAGCAGTGTCCTTTGCAGCTCCACGTTCCTTGATTAGCAACTCTTTTGTTTCCTGAAACTCAAGTTGCATCTTGTTCAAAGCAGATTGCAACCTTGGAATTTCTTGGTTATTGGATTCCTCTAGGTCAGCCTGCCCTAATAAAAGAATCCATTAGAAACAAGAAAAAACCAAATTGCACTACCATTTACAAAGTAGATTTAAAGGATAATATATAATTCTCCAAGTGGCTGTTATCCTTTTTTGCAACAAATGTCTAACAGTACCTTCAGTTGTTCATTTTCAGCAGTAAGTTTATTCATCAATTCATCAGCAGTTTTCTTTGCATCTTCACATTCCTTGATTAGCAACTCTTTTGTTTCCTGAAACTCAAGTTGCATCTTCTGCAAAGCAGATTGCAAACTTGCACATTCTTGGTTTTTGGATTCCTCTAGCTCAGCCTGCCCTCATAAAAGAATCTATTAGAAAGAAGAAAAAAAAAAAAGAAAAACCAAATTGCACTACATTTACAAAGTAGATTTAAAGGATAATTTATAACTGTCCTAGTGGTTGTTACCCTTTTTTTGCATGTTTTGCTATAAGAAATTAAAGAAGGTAGAAATGGACTAATTCAAGCAAGAGTACAGCATTATTCGTAGCCTTCTAATGAGATAAAAAAAAAATGCATCTGCTATCATAATCTATAAGCAAACAAAAGGAGTTGGTAATTTCGTCAAAAAGAAAAAAAATCACCCAGAACCTTAATCAATGGGAAAGCATAGGACCTTCACCATAAAGAAATTCAAATAATAGATTATCACATAGATATTATCGAATTGACAGATAATTTTATGACATATATATGGAAATGTCATAAGCCCATCTACTTATAAGAATGTAATTGTTATTATCAAGAAAAGATCTACCCTCATTTGTTTCTCCAGCTGCAAGAGCAACGTAAGTTCTTCAACTTGATTTTCCAGCTTACTTTTGGCTTCTTGGAGGGCAACAGTTTCCTTGGCAGCCTGCAGACAGACAAGGACAATCAATTGAAACAATCATGCACATACTAACAGAAAATCACATCAAACAGGTGAAAAGTTTTCTTTTGGCAGGAATGGAAGAAAACTGGGATTCCTAGAGATGATAATTTCAAATGATGCAAGCAAAATAAGCACAAAAGAGAAAATTATTATTCAATTTCACCATAGATTGCTGTTAGTTGGGATTGACCCTAGATATTCCATCATTCTTCTACAATTAATCAAAATGAGCAGAAAATAACATTAATATTCACATTGCAATAGATTACCTTACGGAATGTCATCATCTATGAAGAACATTTTGTTGAAACAAAAATACAAGAAATAGAGAAACGGCAAAATCACCATTTTTAGCTTCCGTAATTCTCTACGTGCAACTCTTGCTCTCCAGGCACATTGTGTGGAAATTGCTGCTTTCTTTAAGCTTAGATAATGAAGGCTGGCCAAGAATCGTCGACATTGACTCTGTAGCAGACATAACTCACATGGTATCAATATGCTGATATACAAATTATAACAAAATAGCAACCAGAAGTTGCAATGACAAAAGGCATCAGAATTTTTTCTTCTGCTGAACCAACTAGCATCAACATTTACTGCAATACAAATAAGATAACACCTAAAAGCAAGACTTGGCCCTTTTTATTGGTAAAAGTTGAAACTAGAACCTCCCTGAGCGCAATCCCACTCTTTACAACCTAGGGCACAACAGGGACTGCTTCTGCTCTTTACAGTTATAACTATTCGGAGGACAGAGTAGACTTTTTCTCCCTTTTTAATTTTATTTTTACTGGCAAAACCTATGCCTTACACTCAGTACAAATTTGATCTAAAACGATGAAAATGCTTGACCAAAGTAATGAGAATTCTAAATAACATACATTCTTATTTCTATAGTCTACTGATTTAGATATTAGGGGGAAAATAAACAGTAACACATGGTTGAATGAAAATACAAATTCCTATAAAGAAAGAGTAAAACTAGAAATAAAAAGAAAACTTGTAGCTATTAATATTTCATTAATTGAAAGAAATTTTTATCTTTACCTGAATTACAGTAGCAGCTCTTGTTTGCTTCCTGAACAGAAGCTCATTATGTGCAGCCATCTTACGCATACCTGCTTGAATGGAAATGGCTGAGAAGTACAAATTCTTGTATGCTTTCCTTGCAACAAACTTGCGTGAATGTTTTTGAATATTCAGACAAGCAGCTTCTCTTCTCATTCCCTCATACTGATGGCGTGCCACTTGTCCTGCAACCAGGTTAAAGACAAAAAAATTAAGACGGTAGATAGAGGTCAGCAATTTCAACTCATGATACAATCACAAATGCACATACATGAAATGCTTGTTACCTCTACACAAGGCTTGAATACGTGTGGCAGATAACTGCAACAAGATATAGTGTTTGTGATGCAAATATGTACGAACTTTTCTCTGTATAACACTTGCTGATCTTCCTAAGACCTCACTTCGACGTGCATCTAGTTCAGCCATCTGACCAGCCCTGAGAAAAACTTTTGTTTTGCCAATCTGCAACGGCAGCAAATATGTAAGGTATGGTATTAAATGGTCCAATAGCTTAGTGGAAGCAACAATATCTAAATGCACTAGATGCCAAAACTGATGCACTCAGCCAGCAAGCAAGAGATGTGGACATGATATACATGGACTACTTAAGATATACACGGAATGAAAAAAACTGTCCCAAACTTAATTTTAAGAAAATTTATAAATTCAGGATGTACCTGATAACCACTGAGATTACTCTTCTCCAGAATCCTCTTGCTAGCAGCAACCTCATTATGGCTACCACAGAATAAGTAACAGATAAAGAGAGTTATGAACCTTACTGGTAACTTATGGATTCTAGTAACATAATTCTAAAGAATAAAAGGTACACCTAAATACAAGTAATAATTTTGAACAGCAAGAGTGAATCTTGGACAAGTTACCTCCCACGGAGAACCTCTGGAGCCAATATGGCAAACCGATCTATAAATTCATGAAACATTTTTCGAGAGGGAAATCCAGCACAACTAATTCTAATTGCCTCCATGACTCCCTGGAATCAAACATGTATCAAACCAATCATTCATGGACATACAGACAAGCTGCTTATCAGCAAAAGCAAGGATTAACCAAAATATCAAAACTTACCCCACAACGAAGTTGTTGTAGTACATTATTGTTTTCAAATATTGCCGGCTTAAGAGCATTATTTGGCTTTACACAGCGAATGTAGTGCGGTTCAGTGGCACTCAAAGTCTCGAGCAAAGCTTGGAGTTGTTGCTGTATGATACGAGTGAAAATGAAAATAAAAATAAAAGATGAAGCATAAAATCTGCCTTTAAGATACAAGCAGAAACAGACCTTGAAGCGAGAACCTATTGAGGAAAACTTTGATGATTTGGAAGATTCCTCAGGTAAAGGAGGAAACAAGCTTGAAACAAAAGAGCATTTCGAAGCACCCAGTAAAGCTTGATGCTCTGGAACAACATAATCTTTGTTCTTGTCCAGGAAGAGCTCAGTCTGGTAAGTCACCTATGGCAAAAATTCCTTCACAGTGAATATTAAGCAGATTTAACAGAAGTAAATTTGAAAATCATCGCTGTTGTGACTATTTCTAATTAATGTTGAGACCGTTTTAGATTTATTTAAGTTCCAGTGTTGCCGGTTTAATTAATCACAGAATAAAACAATGATACTAGTTTATGTTATTTAGGTTCCATTTAATTTGTTGAATCAAGGTTTTTAGGAGATTCCACATTTGCTAAACATGGGTACTTATGCTTAGCTTGAGTATAATTAGTCCTTGTTTAAGCTTAACCAATTTAAAGCTGTGTTTGTTAGTCAAGTTTAGCTTCTATTTTGCAAGATGGACATCATCATGTCCTGCAGTATTAAGGAGTAATAAGCAGCCAAAAACCTTATACAATCTAAATTTAGTGGAGAATAACAGAGATATTTCCAGAAGCCTTATCTTTCATCTTGCCATTAACTGCCTCCATGGTTTCTATGGATGCCCTACCATAGTAAAGATACTTACATCGCCAGCATAATGACAAATGGTAAAGTCAGTCCGTGCCAGCTTAGGCTTACTGAAGCGTTTATGGTCTTTAAAAGTCTGATAAAGCTTTTGAGCAAATGTCTCATGTGTTGATCTGGGAAACATACTATAAAAATAGCAGGAGTTATTGTCACAATTTCACAGGGTGGTTGAAGCAAAAGAAAACTAAAATTCGCAATTCTAGGGCTAGATAAACCAATTTTCTTAAAATAAGTGGAATAGTGATTTATCATTGTTATGTATTCTGATACCTACCAAGCTTCATCAAGAAGAGCTACGATGCCACCGGGTTTCTGTAAGCAGAAAAGTAAACATTAGTAGATATAACTTATATCACTCATCATGACAAATTAATCCCCCCATCCAGTTTCAGAAAGTTCCTCTGTAGCTTTATTTGCAAAAAAAAAATAATAATAATAATTACAACATCAATAAAATCAAAAATTTTGTCAATCTTATAATCTTACTTCCAAGTTTACAGGATATGTTTTTTTCTCACTTCTTTCAATGTTAATATTTGATTAAAAAGAATATTAAAAAGGGCAGTGGCTAACATTTTGACATGGATGGAGAATTTCATTCATACAATTAATAAATTTCTGATAAAAGAATAAACAGATAAAACATAAATAAAGGAGAAGAATTAATTGTAAATATAATAATTGTCTGTTACAAGCAATCAAAATACATTTGACGCACTACTAGGTTATGTGACAACAACTAAAGCATAGTCTAAACCTCGAATTAATGGCAACAAAAGACACAAAGCTCCCATTAACAACTAACAAGATACATGGAAATTTCATTTTTTGAAAAAAACAAGACAAAAAAAATTCTGATACCAACATCGAGCAGACAACTAAAATATAGGTAAATTCCACCTACACCGCCTATGGTTTCAACTTTTCCTACATAACACCTTTCGATTTGGTTTTACCTCATTAGCACCCTATAATTAAGTTCTGTTCCCAGAGGGGTATACTGTTAATTTCACCCAATAAAGTTACCAACACACCCTCCATTCAAAAGTTATCATATTCGTTCACACTTAACTATATTTTTGTAATTTTGTCAGGTACAATTAGCAGCATAACCTGCTATGAGAATGGAACTTATCCACAAGGTGCTAATTGAGAAAAAAAAATCACAGGGTGCTGTGTGGCAAAAATTGAAACCACATGGGTTCTAGGTAGAGTTACCCTTAAAAGTTTCTTTTTTAATATTTGAGGCCGCTAGGGATTGAAGCCAAGTTGCCAGGGATAGAAGTCAGGTCACTGGAGCACAAAATCCAGTATTCTATCAACAAACCATACCGCCGTCGCTATGTCTAAAATTTTCATGATTTTATCTTGTAAAAGAGAAATTCTAAAAAACAGTTCTGATCAATATCAAGCAGACAGTAAATGTTCATGATTTTAGCTTCTAGTGTATGAAACTACCATCATCCAAGTTGTATATAATCTTAGAGTCACCAGATGGCATGATTTACAGTTCCTCATACTTTTTAAAAAGGTTTACATAACCATACAAATTTCACAAAACGTAACTCCCCCACCCCCATATAAAAAGTTTAGAAAAATTAGTTGAACCTATCGTATAAGGCAATTAGAATTACCATGAGCTAATAAAGTGACTTACAGTGGCCAAGCAATCTTTATCTAAGATTAATGCAGACCACCCACTTGGCTTGACAGATGCATTTTCAATCCAAAAACCATGTGTTTAAATTGCCATTTTTGGGAAAAAAATTAAAAATTATTAACGCCGTTTTAATTAAATGACACTATATCACCAAATAAACAAAGGCCGAGATCTAAAGATACCAAAATTTATTCACCAAAGATATTCAATTATCCATGACAGAAATGCAGACCTCTTATACACACACTAAATAAAACATTATAGCACAAGGAAGATTTCTGATGAAAAATCAAACCACTCTAATGCAGAACTTTTGAATCACAATTAAATTAATAGTTTTTTGGCTTACTAATAAAAAAGTTACCCATCAATCAAGTACTGATGGTATCTATATAGAGACAAATGAAGTCCCCCCCTCCAAAAAAAAAAAGATCAAAAAAGAAGAAAACAGGTTGATAATACATACTAAACGTATAGGTATACATGGACATACACACTCAAAATATATATGCACATATGTATATCCACAGAGTTTGTCACATAAATTGCATATTGCAAGTGAGATACTGGTCATAAAAACAACAAAAAAAAAAATAGAAGAAGAGGTGACATACCTTTTCAATAAGATCAAGAATATCTTGATTATCAACAAATTCTATATAACTCCAGTCAATTTCTTCCTTTTTATATTCCTCCTGCTCCATCTTAAAAACATGCTGGCAAATCACAGCATCGGTCATGTTAAGCATAGCTTTACAAACATAAAAGCTGAAATTATCCTAAAGGCACCAGCATCAATCTAATCCATAAACCTGATTAAAATGTTGCTGCAGCTTTTCATTTGTTAAATTGATGCAAAATTGCTCAAAACTGCATAGAATGAAAATTTTGAAAATTATAGAAGTATAGGCAGAGCCAAACTAAGGACTATGGTGAACAGTTGTGCACACTGTAAAATCTGAAAAACAGACACAACATGCGGGCAGAATGAGCTTTTAAATACGTATAGAATGCTGCAATTATTCAAAAAGAGAAATTAAACACTAGCCAAGAAAGAGCAGCGGTAGTACCCACAAATTTAACTAGCAATAGAGACCCTGAATAATCCTAAGGGTTTTTCACACATCATGGCCTTAAATTATTGAATTCCCCTAACTAGACATCCCAATCACGGAAAAAGTACAGGGATGTTTGAAAGAAATTGATTCCTGTAAATGACGAAAACAAAGCATACCGGTTAAGCACCTGTTTGTCTTGAAACTCTCAAATCCATAAATATCCAGAACACCAATCAACAATTTCGATTCCGGATCCTGACCAATAGAAACATTTATCTTGTCCACAAGCCTGGGAAACCAGAGTGCAAAATGTTAAGAAAAAACTATAGATAAGAAGTGTTCAGTTTGTGTATCTGTGTGTGTCTCTCCAGAATGAATCCATCTGGTACATTGAAAGTTACCAGTCAAATAATTTTGAATAAACAATTTTGGCCAAAGCATCTCTGCTGAGAGCTGCAGCATCTGGATCAAGCGATTTTGTAATGCTCTCATCACGAGTCACAATAACACGTTTACATAAAGAGTCTTCAAGAGACTTCTCATCACACCTAAACAAGAGAGGCATATTAGAGCTTTTCCATTCACATATACACATAAGGACGGCAACATGGATGTTTAAGAATAACAGTAGCAATGACAAATTACATGAAAAGTTCCGCTGCAGTTCTTAGATGGAACCGAGATTTATCATCCTTAGGTTCAGCAGCATCTGATTCCTGTCCCTTCGCAAACTCAACATTTCCTAAATGTAGAATTGCAGCCACAACCCGGAATATTCCATCCTGAGATAGGAACACTCAGAAAGAGATTAAAAGAAAAAAATAAAGTTAAATAATTCCAACTAAAATAAAAATCAAGATACATTACCTGCTCTGCCTGACTGACCCCAACAACATCCATAGCTCTCCTAGTTGCAAGATACTCTCTAGAATCATCTATAGCATCCAGCTCATAACAATTTGACTGATTTAAATAATGAAAAGTTCGTGGATTTCCCAATTTGTACTTCTCAATATCCTGATGACATGTATTAGGAAATAAAACCAGAAAAGACTTAGATGTCTCTTTGGTAACAAAAAACCAGTCAATGTAGGCAAAAATGAAGTCCCGATGTTAGAATAACAGAGTTCGCTCTTTTATCACAAGAGGTATCATGAGGGCCCAAAATAGTTTTATTCTAATGTTGCATTAACCATATTTGTAAACCTAGATCATGGAGATCTAAACATGGCTGCTATAAGATATTTTGACATGGAAAGAAATCTTCAGAATAACATAGCCAGAATTTGATAACCTAGCCCACAGAGTTTGAAAGTGTTGCAAGCTATATTACTAGAGACCTAATTTCAGCAACTTTAAGATCATCCTTAAGCTTGTACATTACATTTCAGTCCAAAAGAATACTCAGTTTCAGTTATTGAAGCATAATTTTTTTAAAGGAAAACTATATCTGAGGAACCAACAAAAGATTAAGCTAGAACAAGACTTCTACTTTAAATTTTTTTTTTAATTAGCATTATAAAATAGACCTGAATTTATCTGTGAAGTAAAATGCAGAAAACTCAGAGGAGACACCATTACCTCCTGTGGTGCAGCACAAAGCATATAAAAGCAATGATAGTTTCTCTCTGGATCAGACACTTGGCAAACACGAGATCGTTCTAGCAAATAAGTCCTTATTGCAGCTCCTGAAATTCTCCCCCTTTGATCGAACTGAATTTCCACGAACTTGCCAAAGCGACTGCAATTACATCATATTCAATCAGGGGCAGTCCTTTCATCAACTAAAACAAGAGACTTGACACAAAAATCCTCAAGGCATGATGAATAAACCAGTGTCCTGAATACAGATTTCCAACCTTGAATTATTGTTTCTGACGGTCTTCGCATTGCCAAATGCTTCCAGAACAGGATTAGACTACATAAGTAAGAACAAAATAATCAGGAAAAGACCTTTTTTTTTTTTGTGTTCGAGCAACCTCATTTTCCAAGAAGGGGGAGGGAGGGACCTTAAATCCAAGAATGCAATATCAATTTCCCATATTGCAAAACTAAGTTAAGAAGTTTGAGCTACCTCCAAGACCTTCTGCTCCACAGACCGTTCTTCTTCCTTGTTAATTCTCCCACCCATATAGGCTAGATAGCACATAAGCATCTTTGTACTCTCTGTTTTACCAGCTCCACTTTCCCCACTTACCAGAATTGCTTGGCTAATTCTCTCATTGATCATCTGTCTGTTCACAACATTTATTACATCAATGATGCACGTCAAGAATGCAGAACTTTATGATTGATAAGAGAAGCGTAAAAGCAGACTACCTATAGGCAGAATCTGCAACAGCAAACGGATGTGGGCTCAGCTCACCTAAAGCTGCTCCTTTGTACTGTTCCATCACGTGACTGTCATATAAATGTGGCAGTCTTCGAAAAGGATTTACGGCAATCAATATATTTCCCGTGTAGGTCTGTATTAAAGATCAGCATATTTAGCTTCACAAAACAGTACATCTCTCTAGAAAAACTAAAACAGCCATACAGCAAATTAAAGCAACCTATTCACACTCAGCCATCATAAATCACACTCACAAGACTGCAATATGTGAAACATGATCTAAAATAACTAATCTGAGTAACCACTGCCACAATGTCATAATAAATCAAACAATCTGAGGAACATGCTGTGGAACAGCTCATCTGAGAAACCCCTGCCAACTTCAAACTAAATCTAACAATTAAAAGAAAAGGGTAAGGGGATGCAAATCAGCAATTAATACTTACGTATATTTCATTATCATCGTAACGAAATCTTAAATTCTGCAAAACCCCAGGTTCATGCAAATATGCTAGCTTCGTCATATCATCAACACCACTTGAAGGAAATTCAGGGTCCTTTGGATAGACATTAGATATCTTGGCCACAACCTACACAACATGAAAGAAATACAAAAGCCACAAACCTTTCAATCTCTAATTTCATGTACTCAAACAATGACTAAATAAAGAAAGAATATATACAGACCAGCATACATAGTGACGGAAAATTAGAGCTTGAACTAATTACAGATGCTGTTAGATGAAGTGATGAACCATGTTCATAATCTAAAGAAAATATGTTTTACCGTTGAAAGATCTACATACTGCACATATAATTTGAACAAGAAGTTGTAAAGAAGCAGCTTCAAAAACGCATGACTTCCCAGAAGGGAGTTAGAAACAAAAGTAATTTCCTTAGCTTCCCTTGCATCAGGAAGCTGTTTTACTTCAACATTCAATTTACTTCAGCGCACTTTTATCAAACACTTCATGCACGATGAATTCAAGTGACGACTCTTGAACCCTAAATATAAGAAAAATCCAAAATTCAAACCTATTAGAATCCTGAGCCTTAAAATATTTCCCTAAGTTATTGCTGTACTAAAGATCTTCTCCCACCCCCCCCCCCCATTACCTTACCTCATTACTGACTACAACTAGTCCTTCTCTAAAACATAAAACATATCTACAATTAGTCTGCTTATTCAGTATTTTGAATGAACTAGAAAGGTTCTCAGTCATTGCCGCCGGTCTATAAAATTAAGTGTAAATTTCATCTAAATTTTAAATTTTAAGCATAATTCAACTTAAATTCATTAATTTAAAAAACAGATATTCCACTCAAACTTTTTAATTAATAAAACAAGGAAATCCTTCTATAATTATTTCTTAATTATTCTGATAATAATCTCATTAAAAGATCATTTTACTTTTAAAAAATCAATATCCTCATCAAATATTCACATGATATAATATTTTATAATAATAAATTGTTTTTATTTTATCTCAAAATATATAAAACATATTAATAATATAAAAAGATTTTTTAAATGCAACATATAAAATCAAAATTTATAATTACAAATATACTAATATGTAAATATATTTAAAATAAGATGAACATATTAAGCATGTAACAATTTTAACCAAATCTTTTTTTTTTTGCAACCAAATAATTTTTCTTATTTTACCTTACATGTTCTTTTTTGTTTTCTTTTAATTTGTTCCATGTCATGTTCAATACATTCATTTTATTATACATATTTACATATTAACATATTTATAATTATAAATTTTGTTTTTATATGTTGCACCTAAAAATTTTTTTTGTACATTATTAATATATTTTATATTTTTTAAGAAAATTAAAAATATTATTATAAATTTTTATTTTATGTGAGTATTTGAAAATATTGATTTTTCAAGAGTAAAAAGATTTTTTTAATAAAATTGTAAACAGAATAATTAAAGATAATTGACAAAAAGACTTTTTAATCTTATTAATTAAAAAGTTTGAGGTAGAGTGTCTATTTTTCAAACTAATGGTCTTGAGTTGTATTATACTTAAAACTTGAAGATTTTGATATTCTTTACCCTAAAATTAATCTAAAAAATAATACAAAAAAGTAAAAATTAGTAAACAAATAAATTGTCCCTTATGAAATTGAGATAGATTAAAATCTATCAAATTTGGATTGTTTTAGTATCTCTATTAATTAACATATTTTGTTACAAAATTTATCTAATTAAAAACTAAAAAAATAAAATGTGAAAAACAAAAAAATAGGTTGCCACGTAGACACATTCATAGTTTTTTTACAAAATAACTTTTACTAAGAAAGATAAAAAAATGAAAAGTGAAAAAGCAAAAAAGAAAGAAAGAAAAATAAAAAAAAAACTCATTGGAATATTACATATTTGAATGAAGATTTTATTGGATATAAATTGTCTTATCATTCTTATTTGTTGTTTTTTTATTGCAAATTTTATTAAATTAAAAAAATAAAAATAAATAAATTTAGATATCATCTGTATATTTTTTTAACAAAATTTATCTAAATTAAAAGAAAAAAAATTTAAAGAAAAAAAAAGAAAAAAAATAAGATGGCAAGTCAAAATATTAAATAATACATTTATTTATATAATACATATATAACTGTAAAATTAAATAATTAATTAAAAATATTTTTATTATATAGTTAAGGTAAGATGAAAAACCATAAATTTATATTTGACTCAACCTTGATTTAGTGAAAAAACATTGATTCGATTTCAAAATAAAAAAAAAAAAAAACTTATTGGATCTAGATGAATTGAAACTTATTGTCTATGAGTTGTTTTATTATCCATACATTTATTAATATTTTTCTTAAAAATTAATTTATCGATTACATTTGTTTTCAATTATATAATTAAAAAAAGCCCAAAAAACTAAAAAAGTAAAATAGGATGTCATGTGTATACATATATTGATTTTTTTGAAAAATTTATCTAATTAAAAAGATAAAAGATATAAGTCTTTTTAAATTTTACCTTTGATATTATTGATTAAAGATATCATTTTCTAATTTAATTTACTTATACTATAAAACTAAAAAAAGTCAAAAATATTAAATCTAAATACCACGTTCATATTTCCATCAATATCTATTTTTTTAACAAAAATATCTAATAAAAAAAGGTAAAAATATTTTTTATTAATAATATAAAATTAACTTCACCTATAATAAAAATAAAAAGATTAAAAATGTTTATTAAATATAAAAAAAGAAAAAATTCAAAAACCTAAAAAAAAAAAGTCAAAAAGAAAAAAAAATTGGAGTCAGTAAGTAACATCAATAGTAATAAGTTTTTTTTTTTTTTGCCTGAAAATGTATATTATTGATTTTTAAAGAAAACTACCAAAAAAGAACTGAAAAAAATTTCAAATTCAATGTAACATCAACACTTCCATTAATATCCATTTTAAAAATTATCAAATTAAAAAATAACGAAAAATACATATTTATTAAAAAAGGAAAAATAGTAAACAGGAAAAAAATTAAATAGCAAAAGCAACAAAAAAATAAAATACCTAAATATGTGAAAAAAAATATCACACTTTAAGTATCAAGTGAGTCTAAAAAAAATATAAAAAACATTAATTAAGTTTTTTTCAAAAGAGCAAAAAAATTAATATTAAATGGGTCTCAACTAAAAAAAATATTTATGAAACATAAAAAAAAAGACACATAACACCAAAAAAGTTTTTACAAAATGCAAAAAAAAAAGTGAGTCTTACAAAAAAATAAAAGCGAGTTATAAGTTTAAAAAATGCATTAATTAGAAAAAAACTAACAAGAAAAACTAAATAAAAAATTGTCCCAAAAAAAAATCGACCCATTAAAAAATTAAAAAAAACTTTTAATTAAATATTTTAAGATAAAAAAGTAAAATATTCACCGTTAAAGAAAATGAAAAAAAAAAAAAAAAACAAACTCTGAAAGCAAATGGTTCCAAAAAGAAGTGGATCCCACATGAAAGAAAAAAATTAAAAAAAACAAAAACGAAAAGATTACTGCTAAATGCACCACAAAAATGATTTATTTATCCTTTACTCATCGTATCGCACACCTAAAACATAAATTTATCAAAAAACCCAAATACCCCGCCTCCCTTTCTTTCACACTTTATCTTCTCGCTCTCTTCCCAATTGATAATTTTAAAGGATTTTAAACTCCATCAAACCAAATTTAAAAGAAATTTCACCCATTTGCAGTAAAAAATTATAAATTAAATATAAATCATTTATTTTTTTATTTTTATTTATTTTCATATTTAATTTCATAAAATTTCATATTAAAATATTTTGGTGTGATTCAAAACTTTTTTAAATGAATTTTTAAAAAGTTTTAAAGTTTTCTATAAATGGATGTTCAAAAACATTTAAAAACTTTCAAAATTTTAAAATTTTTGAAAATAAATATTCAAAAATCTTTATAAATTTTTGAAAATATAAAATTTCGAGAAATAGATATTTGGATGCCTTTAACAACTTTCGAAAACAGATTTTTGATGATTTCTAAAGACTTTCAAAATTTTATTTTCAGTAAATTATATGATTCTTCAAAATTTTATTTCCAAAAAAAATTTATGATTCCAGAAATCTATTTCTAGAAATTTGTGTGAAAGTTAAAAAAATAATTAAATAATTTTACTTACAAAAACTTTTAAAAAAATTGAAATACGAAAACAAAAGCTGAAATACATTTAGCAGCACTCAAACAAAAAAACGGAAAACGCAAATGGATTCCAAAACAGTGAGTCCCATCTAAAAGGAAAAAATATATAAAATATATATATAAAAAACTAAAAATTATAAAAAAAATTGACAAATATCATCATAAGAAAAAAAAACAAAAATAAGCAAGTGACACGTCTCCCCAACAGTGACACTTACACTGCATGACTTAGCAAAGGAGCCCTTTTATCAAGCCACGGTCCATAACATTAGGTAATATGAAGGCATTACATCTGAATTTAAATTAAAAAAAAATTATACTATCAGCACTAGCATAACGGTCTCAGACTAATTTTGAGCAGCAATCTACTCATATTTTAGAAGTTAGAGGTTTTCATTTTCAATTTCTCTAAATGAGCTTATATCTCATTCGACCGAAAAATATCCCATTAACAAAGTCAAAAGAATTCCCAGTATCATTTATAGTCCTTCAAACCATGACAAGCAACTAGGTACTAAAAGACCAATACTATTTGCTTTTATGTTTGTTAAAGCAAGTGGTGGATCTTAACATTTGATTTTGAAATGTCAATTAATATTTATTAGAATTTTTTTTCAAATGTATATTATTATATTATCAATATAAATATATTTATGAAAAACTATACTAAAAATAATTTAAAAAATTATAAATTTTATTAATTTATAAGCAAATGTACAAACAAACATAATATATCAAATAAATAATCTTACTTGAAATTATAAACAATTTAAAGCATAAAATTATATATAAATCAATTGTTAAATTAACTTAAAACAAAACATAAATACACAAATTAATATTCTATATAACACCCATTCATGAATTGTCAAGTTTTAGCTATCCAAGAAAAATCTATATGAGACCTGTTTTATTGGTTCTCTCCTTGCCTATGACACTCGGAGTTCAAAATATTTTTAGCTAAATATTGTTAGATGATTTAATTAAGTCAATCGAGTATAAAGCATTAGCATTGAGAGCAAGAGTTTCTGGATTCATTAATTATATTAAAAGACACCGAGTGTTATTTAGAGGATTCTAAAATTTTGGGAACCCTCTAGCTTGTATTAGGATCCGCTTATGCTGTAACTGTATTTGTTGTTTAGAAGAACATATAATTTTGCCATAATGTCTAGATATTCACAAAACATAATTAAAGTCATTTCATCATCCCATTAAGGGAATTCAATAATTTAACTTAAATACTTCCAAATTCCAATTTAATAGACATATATATGTTTGATGACTACACGAAACGAAGCAATATAAATCATTCATCTAAGAAGTAAATCATTTGGTTTCCAACTAACTGTTGTTGGGTGAAAAACTAAAATATTTTGAAAATAAAAAAGTAAACAAAAATTTTTTTGTTTGGTTTTTAAACTACACCAATAAAAAGGAGAAAAATAAATCACATAAAATCTTGAGAACAAGTACTCACCGTCTTCTCTGGTGTACACTTTATTGTAATCTCTTCCCCATTAATTTCCGTCACTTCCCCATCTATCCATGCTACCTCTGGATCCTCCAACCAAACAAGAGATCCAACAATAATATTGGATGGAGCAGCCTG